AAATGTATCGAATCAAATATTTTATCAATGGAAGCAACTATAACTGCTTTGAATGCAGAACAAGATGATTGCATCGTGGTTGGTTACTCAAAAAATACAGAACTAACAGAATGCGATATGGCAAAGCAAAAAAAATTTTTAGATAATGTGGTTGCTTCTTTTGATTCAGTAAAAGAAAATGTATTACATTTAGATAGTCAAATAAATGACGAATCATTGGACCGATTTTTGCGCGTCATAAGAGAGAATTCTTGTTTTGAGATACAAAATGTGCAATATTTGGAATATCCTTATATAATTGAAGCAAGTTGTAACGATAAAAGCTTACAAATTATTGGAAGAAATTGCAGTAATCACTGGCGATGTATTTCTTCTGACAGCACCAAGCTTCGAGTGTACGACAGTCTATTTAGCTGTACATACGAAACATTGAAGGCTAAAGAAAAAAATTACATTCATCGCCGTTATCCACAAATAAATAAAAATAATATAATATTTGAAAACGTTCAAAGACAACCTGATGGTATATGTTATGGAATCTTTGCTGCCGCATTTGCTACAACTATAGCTTTAGGAGGAAATCCTTGTAATGAGACATATTCTACTGATGTTAAACGTATGAGACAACATTTCTTAAAAATTATAGCAGAAAATAAACTGTCGCCTTTTGCTAACTAATAAAAATTTATCATTATACTAGAAATGTGTAATTCTAATAATATTGTTGCAAAAAAGTGTCTAATACAAATGTATCATTTGCAAAAATCGGAGAGACAAAAAAATACATATATTATGGTTGCGTTCTCACGGGAATGGGCGATGGAGGGGCCCATTTCATTCTATATATGCATAAAAATGTTTTGTATATTATATAATATTTTGTTATATTATATAAAAATATACAGCTGGTTGTTTGAATATATTTGCTATTTTTCAATTATTGATAAGAGGAGAAAAGCAAATTGTGCGTACTGCATACATTGTAATTTATAGAAAATTACAGGTAATATCAATATACGTACCAGACACGTATGTGTATACATGTATGTGTATATGTATTTGTATAGATATATGCATCTATGCATGCATTTATATATGTAAGAAATATATACATATATATACATGTATATAGATGCATATATCCATGCATAAACATATATATAATATGTACATGGTGATTCAAAAGTCTGGTAATGGCCAATTATCTCCGGAAGTAGTGGTCTTATGAAAAAAATACTAAAGGTGTTGACTTTTACTTAGGTGTCAAATTTTGAGATCATTTATAGGTCAACTTAATTTTTTAATTTGGAATCCTTTATTTTTTATTAGATATTCTTGTAGCATATCTCAACAGCTTTCTAAAGCATTATAATAAAACATTTTTTCATGAAGTACTTTTTGAATTATAAAGATTTGAAGCAATTGTTTGACATAAAATTATATCCTTGTAAAATATTCAGTTTTACGTTATCATATTTTTTATTTTATGCACAGAATAATGAGACCAATTAATTGGTGTAAAGAAAATGCACCCAGCAAACACAAAATATAACTGCTTTGTTACATGTATATAATACTATATAACGTGCATGTTACATGTAACATATACTGTAATTTCTCACTCATAGATGTAACATTTGTAATATGACATATGTTTTTATATATTGTAATTACATCCCAGATAACATCGATATTGTAGGATGCCGGAAGATAATCTTTCGCTAAGTCACTATCCTATCTTTTTTTTTTTTTTTTTTTGACGCAGTGGGAATCCTCATGGATACTACCGCTCTCCGGGAAGAGAGCGGATGGTTATGTGGGACTTCTTGTTCCCTTGGCCGATCCACGAATGGATCGGTCAGGGGGCCCAAGACATACCTCACTAAACCCACTGCGGATACCTTCACGGGCGTTAATGGGGGACGGCCAGGATGCTGGTTTCCCATGCCGACTAGCCGCCCCCCGCCTAATCCTTCCTTGGGAGGGTGCCGCTGAGGGCGACACTCTCCCCCCCCGCGAATTGCATCGTGCGGGGGTCCTCGCGGTTGCGACGCAGGGCGATATCGACCCCACGTCGCGCCCTCCCAAAGAGTTTGGGGGCGGGGTTGCGGCTCGAGTATCCCGCTCGAGCCGCCACCTCCCGCCTCCGAAGCGGTGCTCCCTCCCCCTTCCAAAGGGAATGGGGATTCGGCATTCGCCCCGGAGGCCCTCTCCAGAGGGTTCCTCTCAGAAGGAGAGGAACCCCCTCCGTGGACGGCGTTGCCCTCCCACCGGTGCCCTGTGGCTCCCGGTGAGAGGGCCCCGTGCGTCACGTCTCCGTCATAGAGGGGGGCCCAGGCGCCCCAAAAGACGCGTGGCCCCCCCTCGGTCCCCCCGATTACGGCTCTCTCCGCTCCCTTGGGAGTTAAAATTCGGCCGCAATCAGGGGGATTTCCCGTTCGGGGGCGCGGCCGCGCCCACCTCGCCTAGGCAAGGCGGCGCACCCACGCCCCCGATTCTCGAGAGGTCTCTGGGGGGGGAGTCCAGGGACTAGTTGTCCCCGACCCCCCCCAGCGACCTCATCCCGCGTCGTATGGCGACGCGGGTGTAAAATTGGCGGACCCTCCCCGCCCCCCGCCACCACGGGAGAGTAATCTCCCCAATGGCGGGGAAAGAGAGTGCCCCCCCCTCCGTGGCGGTCTCCTGCGCCACCGGGGACAAGCCCCCCCCGATTCCCGCCACCACAGACGAGCGAGCTCGCCGATGGCGGGAAAAGGGGAGGCCTATCCCCGCTCCCACTATCTCCTCCATTACCGGGGGCGCACCCCCCCCCCCGATTCCCGCCACCACAGACGAGCGAGCTCGCCGATGGCGGGAAAAAAGGGGGCCCATCCCCGTTTCCACCGTCTCCGCTTCCACCGAGGGCGCGCCCCCCCCGATTCCCGCCACCACAAACGAGCAAGCTCGCCGGTGGCGGGAAAGAGGGGGCCCGTCCCCTTCCTCCTCGTCTTCTCTCCTCCCCCTTCGTCCGAGGGCTGGGAGTTGCCTCTCCCAGCCCTCTCCCTCTCTCTCTCCGCTTCCTCCTTCTGCGACATAACTTTCTCGCAGAAGGAGGAGAACGCCATCCAGACCTCTTCTCTCGCCACCATCTCCTTTACTAGAGATGGCAGCGAAAGATCTCCCCCCCCCCGATAGCTGCCTCCAACTCTCTCCTCTCCTCCGACCAGGCCACACACTCCTGGAGTGTGTGGCCGGCCGTGTCCCTCCTTTCGTTGCAATGGTGGCAACGTGTCGTGCGCTCCTTCTTAATACGACACAGATACTCACCGAAGCATCCGTGCCCGGTGAGTACCTGCGTCATTCGGTAAGAAACACCCCCCTTGGCCCTGCCTAGCCATTGTTCCAGGCAGGGCCGGATGGCCCCGACGGTCCACTGCCCCGGCAGCTGCGGGTTTTGCAGCATGCCGGACCAGCTTTCTATCAATTGCCGTCGGGTGTGGGTCCTCAATGTACGCCGGACACCTGCTGTGACGGCCGTTCCCTGCCTCTGTAGCCCGCGTGTACGCCTGTATACTTTGGCGTACATGCGGGCTAATAACTCTATAGGGGGTACTCCTGAGAGTACCCCCACGGCCGCCCAGCTTACCGTACGGAACCCCCGGCATATACGGTTGGCCACCCGCCTTTGCAGCTGATGCAACGCATCTCTGAGTTTGCGGGTGGCCTCTACCTTTTCTGCCCATACGGGGGCTCCGTACATCACCATAGAATGTATGGTTCCGGCGTAAAGTCGGCGAACCCTTCCGTCAGGTCCCCCGAGGTTTGGCAGCAGGCGGCATAGTGCCTTGTTTACCCTCGGGGTCAGTTGGCGGAAGTGCTCGCCGAAGGCCCACTTGCCATCCAGGTGGAGACCCAGGTATTTAATTTGGGTCCCCACCTTTATTGGGGTGTTTCCCACCATTATCTGGGCTTTAGGAGGCGCCCCATGAGAGCCGTCATGGAAGAAGACGGCCTCTGTTTTTTGGGGCGCCACCTTCAGCCCAATTCCTCCTATAGTGCGCATGACACGCGCCACCGCAATATTCGCACGCGCCACTGCTTCCCCCCAAGTGTCCCCCCCGGCCATGATTAGCGTGTCATCTGCATAGCAGATGACGTCACAGCCAAAGGGAAGGGCAGTCCTCAGGGTCACGTCGTAGGCAAGGTTCCACATGAGGGGGCCCAAAACTGACCCCTGCGGAACCCCGCACGACACCTCGACCCTGCGCTCCTCGGCGTTCTGGTCTACATAGACCAGACTTCTGTCCCGGAAGTAGTCCGACACGACTGACATCAGGTAGGGGGGTACCCTGTGATATTTCAGGGCATCCCCCACCCGGTGCCAAGGCAGGGTGTTGAAGGCATTTGAAATGTCTAACGAGACTGCCAGCAACACCCCGCCTTCCCTCACGACGGCCTCCGAGACCGAGCGGACACGCAAGATTGCGTCAACGGTTGACCGCCCGGCCCGAAAGCCGTACTGTCTGTCGTCTAGGTTCGGACCATCCCGGGACAGGTGATGGACGAGGCGGGCAGCGATGATTCTTTCCAGAATCTTTCCCGCCTCGTCCAACAGGCATATCGGCCTGTACGCCGAGGGCGAATCCCTAGGTTTTCCTTCCTTAGGGATTAGGACTATGGATGCCCTTTTCCACTCGCGGGGGAAGGAGCCCTCCCTGAGGCACCCGTTGTACAGGCGCCTCATGGGCTCGACCAGTTCCTTGGAGGCGAGGGCCCAGATTTTTCCGTGGATGCCGTCAGGTCCAGGGGCTTTTCCCTTCTTGATCCTCTTGACGGCATCCCGGATTTCCCCTCCCGTGACCCCCATCTCTGTTTCGTCCCAGTCCTGCTCCCCGGCCTGTATCGGGCTTTGTGTGCCCGACGCCCGGGGGAACAGGACCTCTATGATATTTTTTACGAGATGGGGGTCCAACGACTCCGTTAGTGGTGCCGTCCCTCCTCTCAATTTATTGAGAACTATTTTATAGGGACGGCCCTACGGGTCGTCGTCTAGGGAGGAGATCAGTTCCTCCCAGGCCCTCGCCTTCGCCTGTTGGATGGAAGCGCGTAGGTCGTCTTTCTATGTTTATAGGCGTCCACGCGTCCTCCAATCCTTCTGGGTCCAGTAGCGCGTGCTTCTTCCTCCTTTTTATCTCCCTCCTTGCGTGGTCGGTGGACCACCTTAGCTCGGCGATGTCCTCCGACCACCAGTACGCATGCTTCGGGGACCGGGCTTTGACCTTGGGCATGGCTACGTCGCATGCTTGGGTTACGACGCTTGTTAGCCATGCCCTATGCTCTTCTAAATCCCCGGTCCCCTCTTCCCTTCCTATCATGGCGGCATTAATTGCCGCCATAAACATGTCCGTGTCCAGCTTCCTGAGAGCCCATCTTTTGAAGACCGCCTCTCTTTGTAGGCGACGCTCTGCGACCTCCTTTGTGGTGATGGCGACGGAGATCTCTATGTATCTGTGGTCAGATAGAGTTTCGATCTCCGTCGCCACCCTCCACTTCTTAACCATCCTTGCCGCCGGGCGGGTCATCCATGTGAGATCCACAATTGACCCGCCCTGTCGGCGCACACATGTCTTTTCGCTCCCCAAATTGAGGAGCGTCAGGTCGCATTGCGCCGCCCACTCTTCAACTTCATCACCCCGCCAGTCGGTCCGCGGGGAACCCCATGCCGTTGATTTGGCATTGAAATCCCCCGCGACCATTATCGGTTTGGGGTGATGACAGGCAATCTCCCTCTCTAGGGTCCTCAACCTCCCGCCGAATTCGTTGTTTTTTAAGCTTGGCGGGAGGTATACCCCTATAACGATGATGGGCCCCCAGGAAGCCGCCACGTATCCCTCGCCCGCTCCTATGAGACCTAGGGGGGGGGAGTCGGGCGTATTCCTCCTTACTATTGCGGCGGAGCCGTCGGTACTTTTTACCCAGTTTTTATTGGGTACTTTGTACGGCTCCGCCACAATGCCTAAGCCGCAGGATCTCTCCGCCATAGTATGGACGAAGAGATCCTGGGCGTTCCTCGCATGGTTGAGGTTGGCTTGGAGTATTCTATCGGCCATCCTCAACCATTTTCGTCCTGGTTCCTCCTTCCGACGCTATTTCCATAGCGTCCGCGTTCTCCCCCCCCAGTTCTTCCTTGAGGCGCTGTCTTTTTCCAACGCCTTGGTTGCTGGAGGGGTTTCTCCTTCCTCAGCTATTTTTCTTCCTCCCTTAGCTCTGGGGGGCCTTTGTTTTTTGGGTCTCTCCTGGGTGTTTTGCGTGGGAAAGACATTTTCCAAAGGCTCCACCTCCATTCTTGTTGCCCCGGATTCTTTTGGGGCTCCCATCGCTTTAGCTAGTGGGATGCCCCTTCTCCCTTTCTGCACCGGTTTGCAGGCCTTTTCCCCCGTCCTGTGATTGGCGGGGAGGTTCTTATTCCCGCAAACCGCGCAGTGTACCGGGGCTTCGCACGTCTTGGCCTCATGGCCTTCCTGACCGCAGCGGTAACATTTACCACTGCGGTCCGCCTTGTTTGGGCATCGCGCTCTGACGTGGCCACCCTCCAGGCATTTATAACGCTGGAGGGGCGGTCTTCAAGGATTTCCACCCTTGCCTGTGCCCACCCAACTTGTATCTTGGCCTTTTTGGCCACTATATTTGCAGCCTTGATTGGGCATCTTTTTTTTTTTTTTTTTTTTTTTTTTAAAGTCAGGAATTTGCTTAAACCAAACTTCGCCGTCCTGACCCCTGAGGGAGGGCCAGGAGGCTTCGTGGTGGATTCCCGCCCGTAGTATCTCGAGGGACTATCGGGCGGGGACCGACCTAAAACCTGACTGAAGCTCCTGGTCATATGGGTTTATGTCCACCGCGGAACGCGTGAGCATTACTTCACGGTGGACACCCGACCGGCGTCCTGAAGGTAGGACACATCCCCCGTAAGGATACTACAGGTATCCCCCCGGAGAGGACATCCCTTGTCCCCGAAAGGGCATCGAGGGGAGCCGGGCTACTAGCTCCCCCGGACTTCCCAGGGTCGACGTGCAATGAGAGCGGGGCCCCCCACCCCTCTCTCTCTGCCAATCCGGTAAGTGAGGTGACCACAGTCACCCACCCACACAAAAACGTCACAGGACGATTACAGTACATAACGTGCACGAAAACATGTACACCAACCACAATAATACATAGTAAGGGCCACAGGACCAGCCCCCAAGAGGGCCCACAACAAGGCGCTATGGCCACCACAATAAATAAAGGTGGGAGGGTTATTACACCCACCTATGACAAAAGATAATAAACTATAAACACATAAACTTGACGTAGGTGAAGAGGCCGCGGAGTCACCTCTCGGCAACCTCCCCGGCACTCCATCACCCATCGCCGCAACCTACAACATAAACTTGGCGGGGCAGGGAGACCACGGAGTCACCTTTCGGCAACCTCCCCAGAACTCCCCGCACCCACCGCTACACCACTACAACAACAAGGACAAAACCGACACTAAACATCGGGGGCAGAACTGCAGCCCGGCACGGGGGAGCCGCCTCTCCGCGACTTCCCCGCCCCCGGCTACAGTCTACCCTCGTCCACTCCGGGCTCGCAGGCCCCCCCATCGGGGCGCCCCGAGCCTGAACGCGCTCGGGCAAGCAGCGCGCTCTCCCGACACCTCTTAGGAAGCACGCGCCCGCGAGCGCAAACCGTCGACCCCCAGCGATGTCCAGAGGGTTTCCCCCTGGACGCACACGATGACATCGGGCGGCGCCACACAGTCGGCCGCCTTATGCCCCGATCCACCGCATCTATACCACAGACCGCTCCGGTCTGTGTCGGCACCACAAACATGGCCGAATGGCCAACTCCTGGCACCGGTAGCATTGGAGGGGGCGGCGAGCCAGACGGATCACCTCCAGAGTCCGCCCACCCCCCCAACCCGACACCCTCTTCGCGATAGCACCCTTCGCGCCACAACCGATGGGGCAGCGGATCCAGATAGTGCCATTGCACGAATTGGGAAACAGCTTGATTTCCCCAGCTCTAAGGTCCTCTACTCGACAGCCTCCAACTAGGGCAACCTCTTCCAATATTCTTTGTCTTTTGACAGAGAACATTGGGCCCTTATTCGGATTTCCTCCAACCGAGTGTGGCGACCAACCTTAACGCCCTGCTCATCCGGGAGGCGTCCCTCAATTTGGACGCCAATGCATCCGCCTTCGCCGCCGAGTCCTTACCAGGGACCGACAGTAAATACTGCCAGTCGCCCCTCTTCTCATCCTCATCAAGCCAACCTCCAATTCCTTCACGTCGACCCTCGACTTGGCCTCCGAGAGGACGGCGGCATAAGACCTCGCGTCTGTCCCGCCCCCCCCCCCGAATCGTCACTCGAAACCACTGACGCGGAGGGGGGGCGAAGAGCAGCATTTCTCCTCCCCTCACGGGTGGGCCCTTTCCTCGAGGCACCCACCTCCGCACGCCCATTCGACTGGGGGAGTCGACCGGGCCCCCGTCCGCGACGTCTCCTCTTCTTCTTCCGTGGAGGCTCCAGGACCAGGCATCCACCGAAACCTCCGCAAGAGCGGAGGCGGTAGAGCCCCCAGGCACAGAGCCAATTCCCCGCAACCGCGCCACTACCGACGCTCAAGGAGGGCACGCGTATGGGATCCACTCCATAAATTGGAGTGGGCCCATTCCGCCCCCCGAGCTCCGTCCTAATGGCGGCCACCACAGAAAGCGATATGTCGCCCCTCAAGTCACTGAAGCGACGATCCAGAAGGGACGACACACCAGCCGCAGTCAATGGACGATCATCCGCGACCACACCGCAGACCTCCTCCGCCAATCCCAATGAAGACCTCTCCGCAGAGGCGGGCGAGGTCTCTTCTTTCTTGCACCCTTGTCTTTGGCGCCTCTATCTGAAAAAATTAGAACGCCTCGATGTCTGGAATCGCAGAGCGAACAAACGCCAGCTCCTCCGTCAGGCGCTCCCCCTCACGCTCCAGGTTCGAGATGCGAGTCCTCAAGCCCTGGTTCTCACTTCTTAGGGCATCCATACGAGGATCGGCCTCCGAAGAGGTCCTCGTGACCACCTCTTCAAGGATGCCACCCAGCTTCCTCGAGGAGACCAGGAGCTCCTCGGCCATGAAATCCTCAAGGCCAGGGAGTCCAGCCACCCTCTCCACTTGGGTGACGAACCTACCTGCGATCCTGCGGAGTTCCGCAGTGGTGACCCCCTGCGCTCCGCACGATACCCCCCGCATCCGAAGGAGCGACGCTTCCATCCAGAGCTGGCCCGAAAGAAGGGTCCAGCATTCTCCTCGCGTATGCCAAACGAAGCTCCTCCCGCTCGACAGCTACCAAGCGCTCTTTTGCTGCTGCAAGGCCCACGTAGTCCCCCGTTGTTTTGGCGACCTTGTTTTTTTCCGGTCCACATTTACCCGGAAGCTTCTTGGGTATTGCTTCCTCCCCTTAGTAGCCTCTTATCCTCGGGAGCCCGAACTTGTCCCTTTTGCCCCCTTCATCCTCTGAGGAGCTAGCCGATAACAGGATATAAAAGTTATATCCCCCACATCCTGCTCCTCATCGCCACTGTCACCCCTCACCTTCTCCGGTGAAGGAAAGGGCTGAGGGTCACTATCACCCGCCTCACCAGTTAGTGATTCCGCAGTACTGACTGCAATCACTGGCTCGAAGAACTGGACACATACATGTTTGTCACAGAACTTCGAACCACTTCGCGAACACTCCCGAAGGAAATCGTCTCACCCCTTCGCGAGGTCCTTATATACCTGATGGGCCTGATATGCCCACACCACTTTCTCTAAAAGGACTCGGCGAATACGCAAAACGAGTTCCTTTTGATCCACATCACTGTCACGATTGTTCCACGACAAGGCCAGTCACGTAGTCGCGCACACACCATGTCCTTTTCACTCCTCGGCACTGTCGCTGTCCAGTCCGCAGACCCAGCCGGCAAAACTGCGGACGACCTGTCGTCTGTTGACGACAGGAGGGAGCCAGCCTACACCCCCCCCCACGCCGGTTCCCGGTACCCCCAACCCGGGACGTTCTCTTCTTTCTTCCGAGTCCCCATGTTTCTGAAAAAAGAAATTGGTTTTTTCTGTCAGGGTTTTCCTTCCCCTTAGAGGTTGCCTACTCAGCTAACGAGGCCTCCCCCCCGGGTGTTATCTTCGTGTTTTCCTTCACCTAGTGCAGTTTACCAGTCTTTTAGGGCCTGCACGCCCATCACACCCCATTCATCCATCACAGACCTCCAGCTCGGGTACCTCGAGATTGCCACAACACCTGTACACCTACTTGGATCTTCTTTAGTGCCCTGAGGGATTGATTGGGCATCTGACCCAGCCATCTTGATGCCGTTGGGCGTTGTTTTTATTTCGCCCACGCTTACTTCTTTCCTCCTCACAGTTGCCACCTTTTGCGATGGCTTCTCTGATTTCCGAGGGGTGACCGACTCGTCCAGCCCCCTTACCCTAAGCTCTGCTGTCTTAGTTGGGCGCTGGATTCTCACCCCCTCCTTACCGACAAGGGCTTGTTTCAGCTTCAGAGCTAGCTTATCTGCTAGCTCTCCGCTGTTCTTGCCGGGGACCTCGTATATCAGGGCTCCGGTGATTGCTCTCCGGATCCTGACTCCCTTTATGCCTATTCTTTAGTTTTAGGCTTTCCAGGCCGATTTTTTGTCGGGCCTCTGACATCACCTCTTCGTATTTCCCCGGGGGACAGGTGATGGTTATCGCAGCTGTGTTAGGTTCTCTCCGTTTCTTTGGAGGTCCAGGCCCGCTGCTTTCCATTTTGGCTGTAGCAGGGATGGGAGCCCCAGCCTTTGGTGCTGGGGGTTGTTTGGTCCCTTTTGCCTTCTGTGCCGTCCTTCTCGATACCACCGTTGACACTGTTGTTGCTGTTGCTGCTGTTGTTGTGGTTGTGGTGGGGGCCGATTCTCTCATTTGGGGCTTACCTCCTTTCTTTTTCTGCTCTCCCTTTCCCCCTGTTGTTTTTGGCATTTGGGGGAGGATTTTTACAGAGACCCTATCTATTTTCTTTACCCTGGGCAGGGCGGGGTCTTGCC